GGAGAGTACTTTGAAGGGAATTGAAGGTTTGTGCTTAAAGTTTGAATAAATAAGTTTAAAAAAAAATAAGTTCGGTTTCTTTTGGGTACCCCCTCGTAATATAATACTATATGCGGGACTAGCATGGACTATCTTTATTGTGTGCACTGTGTTGTGTATCACCATGTGGTATTATTATACAGCCATCAAATTGTTGAATTGTAATGTAAATATTTATTTTAATACCTTTAAGACTAATATTGATATAAATTACTGATATGGATCCATATTAGAACACAATTCAATAGTGAGTGACATCATGAATACTGCCTAATGATGATTCAGTTCGTTCAAAACATGTAGCAGTCACAGAATAATAAATAAAAGTTAATAAAGTGATATTGCTTTATTTATTGTGCTGATGGCCATATAATAATATCACATGAAATGGTAACATCAACAGATGAGATTTACAGCAGCCCAAATTTGGACAGACAGTTAATTACTTTGATTTAATTTGATTCTGCAATATAAATCAAATAGGTATTATGCCTAGTCTTCTTTCAACTGTACAACAGAATGTGAGGAGTGCCGATTGAAAAACAGAAAACTTCATTACACAATCAGTGTGACTGAGAAATATGATTCCTGATGCTAACAGCAGTAGGAATTTCTGGAAGTCACATCAGCCAGCAACTGGTGAGCTTGAGGTGTGAAAAGGCAGTTGGGCCTTTAATGGTGATAGTTTCTTGTTATTTGTTTCTAATTGGAGGATAGAAATTTATGTACCTGCCTGGTTCATTCAAACCACTCAATTAGAATCATGTGGTGGACGTATTTACTTCAAATTTTTCAACTAGGGAGAGTTGCTTTTCACATAGAAGACTTGTCAGAACACTCAGCAAATTCAATTGATCAAAGCAGATATATTCTGTTCCAGCTAAATTTTAAACTATACACACTTAACCATTTAGATCAACAGTGAACAATTTGCTTCGAAACTTATTTACAGAAGTTTAAATTTGGTGACTGAAGAAATGAAATCTAAATATTATACAGAGCGAGTAAAAAACTACCTCTTGCTTCCGTCTCAGTTATAATAGCAAAACTTGGGCATTGAGAAACTTATCTGTTCTCGTAAATCCTCATCAAAGTAACACAATGTAAGTTACAATTGTGGAAGTGGATCAGCTAATTATGCAATTTTGTTCTCTTCAGTTACAGTCTACAAACACAGTCCCAAGAAAGTCAAATGCCTACTTTAGCTAAGCTAAATCTACATCACTGCTAAGGTGAAACCATCTTCACCTTTACAGGATTATCCTATTGGTACTTCCAGCAGCACTATTGCCCTGGTGTTCACTCAGCCTCTAACAGAAATGAGTGCCAGGAATTAATTAAATAAATTTCCTGGGGAGTAAAGTGCAGCCGGCGCGTAAGGCTGACAACCTTACGCCATCTTTGAGCCGATTGTCTAGATAATGTGGGACCCTCAACGTCTCACAACCTTATGGGTCTTCATGGCCTGGTACAGGGATAGCTTTACTTTTATCCAATCATTACCCTTAATTAATTACTATCCTGGTCCTACCATAGCCCTTCAATAACCTGTGATGCATCTCATATGTACTAAGGATACTGAACGGGTGGTTTGCAACATGACGCAACATAAAACCAAATTATTAATATAAAAGTGTGCAAAAACAGTGATGCCAAAATTACGAAACACCTGGAAACAGTATTCACACAATGCACTCACTTCCTGAAAGCAAGGTTCCGTCATCTTGTGGTACAACTGTAACATCTGTTGTACAGAATGTGTCATAAGCAGGATTTAAGCTATTTTAGTTTCAAAGCGGAGAGTTATGTAAAGTCTAACCATAACAGATCAGAGTGCCTAAAATATATCAACCAATCAAAGAGGGGCACTGATATAAATACCACCAACTCACAATTACCTGCAAGTCAGTAATCATAAGTCTAGAAACACTGACAGTATTATAATATCTAGTATGGTGTATGGTGTATAGTGTATGTACTCTTCTAAACCAACTTTTTAATTCCACTATGTTTCACAACTTCAAGGGCGCGGATAGTGACTTCCTACGGACTTGACCAAAGGGTCGGAGTTCGAGTCCTGGTAGGGCCAAAAATTTTCACTTCTCCACTGGTAAGGCCAAGAATTTTCCCTTCTCCACGTCTAGACCGGCCCTGGGGCCTACCCAGCCTTCTATCCAATGTGTACCGGGTGTAAAGCGGCAGGGGCGTGAAGTTGACCACTAACCTCCGCCTAGTAAGACAATGTGGATCTATACTTCCACTCCCTCATACGCCTTCATGGCATAGTTCTTAATTAGTTAAGTACAGGGACAACTTTACATTTTATCATTACTTCCACAAGTGTAAAATATAAAACTGCAGTCAATTGTCATTACTGAAAAATGAAAACCAAAAATCACAAGTTCCTGAATGTTCTGATGCATTGAAAATGGGAGAGCTGCAAAGTGTTATTCCAATCTCGAAATGGCATGTTCCATTAAAGTGCACGCTTTCATAACCTTAAAACTGACCGTTTGTTCCGCTGCATTTGTAACAACTTCTATTTTCTGTGATGACACCCTTACTTCTACGGATATTAAGTACCGACATCTTAAAAGTGCGGTCTGCGAAAGATTTCACTACTGACTTCCACATTACATTAAGCTTCCAATTTATTCGTTGCACGAACCTAGTGCAATATCACATTAGATTGCGAATTAACATACAATACGGTTCCAAACAGCCCTTAAAGTACTACACACATTAATTCAGATCGGTCAGGATTCTCTGATTGGCTCACACTTTTGCGATTCGATTAATTGCGATAGGTGTATTACGTTGATTATGATCGATTCTTAACATTTCCAGACTATCTAGTTTATGGAGGAAGCGCAGAGATGGCAGTTCTGCATGTTTCCCCTTCCCCCTTACCAAGTTTCTTTCCCAAGGTCATGACCGTCATGAAGGTCATGAAGTCATAAAAGTATCATTCGTTCCAACCGTTCGGTTAGTCATGGACGGTCACGGATTACAAAATAATGAGGGGAAAATTCAAAGCTACTGGCAAGCAACACTGGAACTTGTACGCATTACTATTTGCACAACAGCGACATCTAAATTCGATCTCTTAAAAGTTACCTGACCTATCATGAAAGCAGTCGCATAGCCCCCTTATACCTATTAATTACATTGCCGAAAATACATCGGCAATCATGCAGCTATTATGATCGATTAAAAAGGCGACCAAATTAACCTAATTCTCAACGCACCAATGAAGAATTTTCCATTACTTTGGTGTTTATATTGTCTCAATAGCACTTTCAGTAATGTCTGCATAATTAATGCTACACTGCCATACTTCCATTTATCTTTTTATTGCTTGTGGGTTGGGACTAACTCCCTTGTACTATTGTACCAGTCCCAGATGATAGGTGAGGGTGATTGTGGAGCAATTGGTGGAATGAAGATTGGCAGGGGAAACCGAAGTACTTGGAGAAAACCTGCCCCAGCGCCACTTTGTCCACCACAAATTCCACTTGACCAGACCCGGGCTGCTGCAATGGGAAGCCAGCGACTAACCACGAGTTATGGAGTGGCCTTTCCATTTACTTGTTGACATTCTTAATACAATACACAATTGTACCACAACGGCAGACCAGTAGCTATCGTGTAGGCCATGTGCTCTTCCAAACTGAAACAAGCCACTGGCCTACATTCCTGATGAACTACGGTACCATAATGTATTTGAAACAAACGCCCTGCAACCTCCGAGCTATTAATTTTATACTACAGCTGTTCAACATGATTCCATAGTGGAAACAAATTATACTCACTGCATTTCATGGTAAACTCTCTAAATCTTGACAAGCAAAACTAGTCCTGCACACATGAAAATTCATGACACAGTACTACGGAAACTCAGAAACATATAGACTACATTACTGTAATCAGACACGCATACTAATGAAGTACTTTTAATTGCTTAAATTGGTCCAGTAATTTCAACAGATTTCTTGGAGATGTCTGTAAAAACACATTACTTTCAAAGCTATATAAAACTAAAGAAACTGTGTGGCCATACAGTTACCTACAGAAAAGTATGAACTATCATGATTTTGATCCAGTCTACCTATCTATGGGTCTACAGCCCTTGTGGAACTTGGTCGCTCTTTCAGTTTCTTAATCTACACAAGGCCGGCAGGACTCCTAAGAAGGGGTATCAACCCATCACATGGCCCCACCCTCTAGTGGGATTCAAACCCATGATCCCAGTGTTCAAAAGAGCCTTAGACCAGGTGGCCAATGTGATCAGCCTTCATCCAAATAACGAACCAATTTTTTTTCCACTTCTATACCATTAAGTACTTGTGACTGACATGCATGTATGTGTGTATGAGTGGGCCATAACAACCGGCCCTTGCACTGCAACCTTCAATTACCTACTGTGCTTCCCCTTTGGATTAACCCTTTATTAATCCTACACTCTGAATGAAATGTAGGACTTTATTTATGGGGGCATCATAAGTCAGTTGGTTCCACAAAGAACTGACCCAAGTGACAAAATCTTAAATAAGCTATAGTCTCACAATCACATAGGATATTTGTAACAGACACTTAGACACAAGAAAATTTTTTACGTAAAATCCTTTGTGCCTTATCCAACTTTGGGACTACTGGATTAAAATCTAAATCAACCCAGGAAAATATATCAATGAAGGAAACCACTGTTAAATGAAATTGACAACTGCAGATTGTTCCCATTCTCTATTCTGCTACTAGCAGAATAGGTGAACAGAAACATCCCTTATACATGTACATTCATACACATTACCAAATTAACCACAAGACTTGTAAAATGTGAGATATTCATTTCTATGAAAATCCACATTATGGTCTACTGGATTATAATACCTTAACATCCTTGTAGGGGAGTACCCATATTTTGAAAGAACATGCTACCTGCTTCTTTGGGGTACTTGAACACCAACCCAGAAGATAGATGAATATGAACCATTCACATGAGCATTATCTTTCAACTGTTACTGCAAAGGAAAATGGAAAGATGTTTGGCTACGTTTTATTCCTGATATGATCAAGTGAAGGATTTAATACCAAAAGGCCAACAAAATAAAATTTCAAACACAAAACTGCATCATTTCATATACAGAGTGTCCCAGAAGGAATGTGTCAGACTTCCAGAGGGTGTTTCTTATGTTAAAGTATGCCGATATAACCCAAAACACCTATGCCCAAAGTTGAACGGTTACGGAGATAATGGCCTGAGAAAAGTGTGGTCTTCTGGCAGGTCCATGCACTATACCTGTCAGCTGACAAGTCTTATCAATGTTTGTCCTTGAGTGTGGTGATGACAGCTCACATTAGCCGCATACACTCGCATACCAGAATGTGCAGTCAGCAATGTTATGCCAGTGCTTGCCATTCATGTGTCATGTATAGTGCTTGGAACCCTAACGACAACTATGACATGGCGTGCAAGTTTTTTTGTAGTTCAATTTAATGGCTTCATGTCACTCACAAGTTAGTTTGATGTTACGTACATTATTAACATTACAGAAACCACATATTCCTGGCAGTTTTAATATGTATTTGGTAATCAACAAGTGTGTAACACCTGTCAAAGTTTCAAACTTCTCTGGCCATTATCTCCATAACTGTTCAACTTTGGACATAGGTGTTTTGGGTTATATCGGCATACTTTTTAACATAAGGAACACCCTCCTGAAGTTTGGCACATTCCTCCTGGGACACCCTGTATTTCCAAAATTATGAAGAGACACTACTTATTTTGTAATGTTCCAGTAACTGCGGCAGCCCTTCACACCTTACAAAATATGAGCTACATCTGAAATGAAGGTCTTCACAAAAGAAGTATCACATATTTTCTCCTTCAATATTTTAATGTCAAACTGTACAGGAGATATAACAAAATACACACTGAGGTAACATTCTTGAATTACACCATTCTCCGGAGCAATTCATTAATTTTATCTTCACGGTTACCAAAATCTCCTCCTTCTACATAATGGTTTGTCTTCTTGCGCCAGCCTCCAGTTGGTGTATTGAGCTGGAAATTGTGTAAGAAAACCATTTATATACTTATACAAGAAATTCCAAACAAAAAAGCAGAACAAAACGCCTGTGTCTTAACATTCATACAAGCCTTTCTAATGAAGAAATACAAAAGCTTTATATAAAATATTAACTTTTATCTTCAACAAGATGGAAGGTGGTAGCATAAGTTGAACGCTCACCACCATGGACTTGTTGAAACATCATGGAGGAAAAGCAAAGCAAAACAAGGTCAATAAACAAAATATATTGTCTACTGTGTATTTATTTTCTGAAAAAGCTCTAGAGGTCTGAATGGTCTAAGACACTGCTGTCCAAAAAGTATCCGACTTTATATTTTGCCACTATAAATAATGGTCAAAGGGGTGGAGAAACTGAACATGGTAGATGGGACTTTCATGCGCATGCATGATTTTCTGCAGACTTGCAACACCACCGGATGCGTCTGTGGTTGCCAGATAGCAAAGTAGTGTAACACATGTTCATCACATTCTCGTTTTGACAGAAACTTGGGGGTCACTAAAATTAAAGTGGTTCAACCGCTTTAAAAATGGCCGTATGTCGACGGACAGTGACCAGCGCTCCACAAGACCGTCAACGAGCTGAAATGCTGATGTCATTGAAAAAGTGCGGACACTGATTAGGGACGACCGTCACTTGTCCATCCGGAAAGTTGCTGATGAGGTTGGGATCAGCAGAGGTTCTACAAACACAATTTTTAACTGAAGATCTGGGCATGCGAAGAGTGGCGGCAAAATCTGTGCCCAAGCTGCTTTCGCCAGAGCACCAACAACTCTGCCTTGAGGTCGCACTGGATATGCTGCGGTGCTACAACAGGGATCCTGAGTTCCTGAAGACTGTGATCAATGGTGACGAGTCATGGGTGTATGGATATGACCCAGAAACCAAGGTCCAGGCATCACAATGGAAGCATCCAACATCCCCGAGGCCCAAAAAATCACAACAGGTTCGGAGCAATCTGAAGGTGATACAGACTGCTTTTTTTCAATTACCAGGGTGTTGCGCATCATGAGTATGCACCACTAGGGCAAACTGTCAATAAGGAGTATTACCAAGAAGTCCTCTGCCATCTTCATGATGCAGTTCAGCGCAAGAGACTGGAGCTGTAGGACACACGCAACTGGCAGCTGCATCGTGACAATGCCCCAGCTCATTCATCACACCTGATCCAGGGTTTCCTGGCCAAGCATGGCATTCCACAGGTTCGCCTGGCTCCCTACTTTCCTGACATGGCTCCTTGTGATTTCTGGCTGTTCCCAAGATTGAAGACATCACTAAAATGCTCCCGTTTTGACAGCCATGAGGACATCATACAGAACGTGATGGCGCAGTTGCATGCCATTCCAAAAGAAGACTTCCAGAATTGCTTCCAGTGATGGAAGGACCGCTGGCCTAAGTGTTTGGAGTCACAAGGGGCCTACTTTGAAGGGGATTAGGTATTGTAACCATCAAGATACAGAACTTTGTTCTCCCGGCCCAAGGTCAGATACTTTTTGGACAGAGCAGTATAAGTATTCCCGAAGTATGTGGAATTACATCAGCCTTTCAACAACATTCTTAATTTGGGGAATAAAAAGTCTGTTGGTGACATATGAAGTGAGTAAGGTGGTTGTGGAACAGCTGTTGTCTTGTGTTTCATCAGAAACTGATGGATTAATAGCAATGTGGGGTGGGTGCATTGTCAGCATGGAGCATCCATCGATTTGACCTCCAAGCATCGGACCTTTCTTTTTTCTGACAGCCTCATGAAGATGTTTCATTACTTCAAGATAATATTCCTTGGTCACTGTCTTGCCTTCTGGAAAAAATTCATGGTCAACAATGCCCTCAGAACTGGAAAAAAAAAAACTGTCAGCATGACTTTAACGCTTGACTACACTTGTCTTGCTTTTTTTTAACACTGTTAGCTTCATTTAAAAGCTCCTGACTCACATAAACTCAAATTTGTTTTTGCTCATCAGTCAAAAGGTATGGCACAAATTTGACTGCATCTGACTCATACCTATTATTATTATTATTATTATTATTATTGTTGTTGTTGTTGTTGTTGGAGGGGGTGGGTTTCCCCGTGCACTGCGACTAGTTGTTAATCTACTGTGCACCCCCCTTTAATATTCTACCAGTCCCCATGCCCTTCCAGTACTGGTGCTCACTATCAGCCCCGTTCTGCCAGCAAGGTCGGCCCTCTCTGGCAGTGGTCCCTGATACTTCCCCATCTACCGGAGGAATTGGAAACTACTTGGGCGGGTAACTTTGCCTAATTTTGCTCAGAGGCCTCCTAGAGACATGAGGATCTCTTACGTGCCGTAAATCTACGACACGGGACACACGGCTTAAAGTCCCTCCCGGAGGACTTGTTCCCTGAATTTTTCCGCCCTTAAAAATTCCACGACCTCCGCTGGGTTTGAACACGCAT